CAAGCAGCTAGGCAGGACTGAGGATTGGGTGAGTATATTTAATTTCCTCTCTAGACCAGAATGAGCAGTTAACCTGTGCAGTGATGGGGGAGACCTACTGCAAGGGTTATCTTTTGAAGGTCCTGGAGTTCTTCTTTAACTATTTTTGAATGCTTTGTCACCTTTGATTATAGTGTATGCATAGCCATTTTTTTCTGTTTACAGAGTAGAAGATGGTTGAAATCAATTATTTACTTTTCTCAATTTGTTCAGTTTGGGAGATTTCACTTTATTTCCTGCCCTGTAGCCACAACAGGAAGTGAGGGGAGTTCCCTTCATAGAGGGTTGTCACTAGAGATGAGCCAGGGCTTGGTGCGATCCCAGTTCCCCTGAGTGCGCCCAACCTGGTTATGGGTTTAGCTTTCCAAAGTGAATTTGGGAAAATGGAGTTACCTGCTCATATCTGACCCTCTCTCCCCTCCCGCTATACTTACCTTTTGGTGAATGCGCCTTCGCCGGTACGAGTGTACTATTCTTGGCGCAGTACCGGGTATGGATAGAACACCCGCACCAGTGGAGGGGAAGGATCGTTCACCGAAAGGTAAGTATAGCAAGGAAGGGAGAGGGGGCTAGATTTGATCAGGTGATTCCATTTTCCTAAATTCACTTTGGAAAGTGAACTTACCCCTTAACTAGTTGATGACCGGGGTGTATACACCCACTTTCTGCCCAGGCCATTTTTCAGTATTCAGCGCTGTGGTTCTTTGACTGATGTTTATTCTGTCATGCAACACCGGACTGAGATGAATTTTATACCATTTTTTGGGGACAGATAGAGCTTTCTTTTGGGGTTATTTAATCACCACTGGGGGGTTATTTTTTAATATATAAAAAGTACTGAAAATTTTTGGAAAAAAAAAACAGTTTTCCCTACGTTATGTTTAACATTTATTGCTAACCAATTTTTGGTAAAATATACAATCTGTGTGTTGTAAAGTAGCCACCACTCCAAGCTCACTCCTGTGATGGACTGCAATCTCACGTTTAGTTTACTCATTTGTATTGAGATTGTAGTCCATCACGGGATTGAGCTAGGGGTGGTGGCTACTTTACAACACACACAGGGACCATGCAGAACAAAAGTAGCCACCCTCCAGAAGGAAAGAAAGTGCCAGCATGAATTCAGAGATGATTTGAGGATCTACAGCCGAGTGATACACAAATGCGATACATTTTTGTTAACAGTGAAGGTACTTCAGCCCCTTAGTGACACTGCTTCAGAAATGTTTTTCGCTTCTGGGGACTGGAGTAATTTTGCTCTGTTTGTTTAACCATCATTTCCATCTTCCTCATGCATAGCACCAACACATATCATATACTGTTTGTTTTTAAAGGACACAATGGTCTTGTTTTATGTGACAAATGCATATATCAATTCTTATTTTTTTTTAATAAAAAAATTTGCAAAAAAACACAGCTTCAACAATAACAATGTGTACATAATTAGTGTAGCTAACAAAGTAATTCATAATACATTCTTTTATTTCTCCTGATTTTATAGGGTATATCATATGGCTGGGATTTCAGTTTTTATTTTGGGAGTTATAGGTCACAAAATACAAGGCGTGAAAAACTATTTTAGAATGTAGTATGTTTGTTTCTTTAATAGCCTCCTCAGCACTATATTTAAATTTTTTTAATTAAACATATTTTTTGGACACTTTTTAAAACTTTTTCCCTATTGGTCTTTTTTAAATTAAATGTTTAAAGGAGAACTATGACTTAAGGGCAAATAAAAATACCCCTTACCTTGATTGTAGTAGCAGCGTTCCTTTTTTCTAAAGTCGCAGCACATCACAGATAAAAACCCTCAAAACCTGTAGTAAATGGCGTCTTCAACCCTGCTCCAAGCTCCTTTCCTCTTAGGGGGCGTTAACATTTGATCCAGCCCGCCCACGGCTTTTTTTTTCAAATGATCTCATTGCTGTGGCCGCGCTTCCTCTCATCGTGCACAGCTGTGTTTTGTCAGCTCGTGCACGCTGGCATTTGTGAGCGGGAGGCGGAGTCTGAAGTGAGAAGGCAGCAGCAAGAGACGGACTCAGCCTCCCTGCACATTCAGGGCCTGTTCACACGACGTCCGTTTTGTGTGCTGACCGGCTCCGTACGCTGCTGCACTCAAAATGTATCCCTATGTGTTTTATGGGCTACAGTTCTCACGTGCGCAGTCCGTTCAGCTTACGACAGAAAAAATACTGCATGTCACATTTTGATCGGTCCGGAAACGCACGAACGCGCACGAAACGCAACGAGAACGGAAACGCAATGCAGCTAAGGGGGAAAAAAAATAAAAAATTGTATTCTTGCTCCACTTATTATGATGTCATCAACGTTGACAAAAAATTAACTGTCAGCATCCGGACCGAAAATGCGTCAAAAACGCACTGCATCAGCAGCTCCACGTCTGCTGATCAGGACCTAATCTCATGTGAACAGGCCCTCAGTGCTCTTTCCCCTCTCTCATCAGCGATCCCCAGTAATTAGGATGTCAGCATAACACAGGGGGAGAGAGAGAGGATAAAGAGCCATCCCTCTCTCCATCATTTACCAGAAATGGGCAAGTCCATATATGGTGAATGATGTCACTGGGTATCCCTGCAGACTGGCAAGCATCCGATCAGCAGGGATCCCCAGTGACATCATTCATCATATATGGACTTGCCCATTTCTGGTAAATGATGAAGAGTGAGAGAGAAGGCTCCTTCCCCTCTCTCTCCCTGCCCTGTGTGACGCTGACATCCTCAATTCACTGGGGATCGCTGATGAGAGAGGGGAAGGAGCTCTCTCTCTCTCTCTTCAGCATTTACTACAAATGGGAAAGTCCATATATGGTAAATGGTGTCACTGGGGATCCCTGCAGACTGGCAAGCAGGGATCTCCGGTGACATAATTTACCATATATGGACTTTCCCATTTGTAGTAAATGCTGAAGAGAGAGAGAGGGCTCCTTCCCCTCTGTCATCAGCGATCCACGATCTTTTTATTATGTCAGTGTGACACAGGGCAGGGGGAGAGAGAGAGGGGGGAAGGAGCCCGGCTGGCACATGTGGACGTGCAGCAGCTCTTAAGAATCACTGTTAGTCTAAGTGGGGAGGATCCGTCAGACACGTCGGGATGTCTCCTCATTGCGGCGCTTAGCCCCGCCCACCACCTTAAATAAGGGTTTACAGCCTTACTGTGCATTTTGGCTAATTAGAGTAAATTACATTATTTACTTATTTAGCCTAAGGAATTCATTAATCAAGAAAAGATAGAACCCCATAGTTCTCCTTTTAAAAATGTGTTGTTTTTTTAACTAGGGGGCACTAAGGGGTTATTTTTTTATTTTTATTTACAGGGGCTTTGATACTTCATATCTCTGAGGAGAATACAGTATTCTCAGAGATACTTCGTATCACTTTTTAAACACACAGCCTGCACGCAGCTTACAAAACAAAGTGAACTGCTGCCGGCTGTGTGACTGTCATGGCTCTGTGATCACAGCGATCGGCTTTTGCTGTAATCACAGGACTGTGACTACCTAATCTGCTGTTGAGGGTCTGCCTCGGACCCCAAGGGAACCATCAACAGCAGTAACTCGATGAGCACTGGTTCCCTCACGGGATTGGGCCGTCACCAGTCGTTAACGAACTGAACGCTCGTGACGGGATAATCCTGTAATCGGTTGGAAAGGGGTTAATGCATTTTTAAGATTTAACTCCTGAGTTTAGTGTCACTTTAATTGTCCTTTTCTGGCCTATTCTTGGTGCCTTAGAAATGGCATAACATGTATGTGTGTACAGCTTTCCCATGATACTTTGCAACATCTACTCGGCATAATTCTGTAAAGAGTGGAATTGTAAGATCTTTGCCCTTCCCTCAGGTTACATTGGAAGATCTGGATTATCTCTGCATTTCACTTATCTAATAGTAACCTCTGTGGTGTGCTGTTATGACCGTTTATGGATTTTAATGTTGAATTATTCGTGTGCAAGTTTTAAACCGATCTTGTTCAATCATTTTAAAGAGGACAAGATGAAATAAAAGGCGGCACATTTGCTGCAGGATTGCCATTAATAAGCAAAAGTCTAATCTAAAAGTCTGATCAATTTAAATGACTTTCTTGGCATGTACGACTTCCTTTTATTGTTCAGTCTGTTGGGGGAAAAAAACAAATGAAGCTCTGGTTGCGGTGAGCAGCACATTCAAATAAAAAATGGCTGTGTTGGTGGTGACTAGTTTCGTAGTCATCAATATTGTACTGGCACTTTTCTACAGTGTATTGCTGAGGGCATTAAACCATAAGAATTGCTAGCTACCCCTGAAGTTGCTTGCAGTCTCATGCCCATACCACAGTCATTCACACAATAGTAAGGGCCACTTTTGGGTGGAAGCCGGATGCCTGTTAGTAAATGTTTAAATCGTGCAAGGAAATCAGAGCATCTAGAGACAACCCGGATTTATCATATAAAGAACATACATAACTCCATGGTGGGAACCAAACCCTGAAATGATGAACGTGGAGCTTGGAGAGATTCACCTAAAATAAACTTTTTCAATAGGGCAGATTCACACGTATGCATTTTTGACTGGTGCATTTTCTACTGAGCTCAATCGAAATGCATAAAATGCACATCAATAAACATGCAAATTGCATTGCACTTTACATTGTATGTGAAAGCACCTTCACGTGTCTTGATGCGCATCATGACTGTTTAGGTGCTTTTTAAAGCATTTTCATTGATTGCAATGAAAATGCATTAGACAAAAAGTATGATTGGTTCTTGATAGAGTGGGAACGAGATGTACACTAGTCTAGGGATGTCCCGATACTAGTATCGGTATCAGGACCGATACAGGGGATTTCCACAAGTACTTGTGAAAATGCGTCGATACATAGCACCAATACCGGCACTTACATTTTTTAAGTTGCGTCAGGCTGCCCAGAGGTACCGCACTTGTTGGGGTCCTCTGGGCAGCCTGCGGGGCAGCTAAACGAGGACCTCACAGAAGCGCCTCCCACAAGCCCGCCAGAGACTCTGATCACAGCAACTCCCGCACAGCGCCGACGAACTAAGGGCGGCGTGGGCGACCAGGAAACAGACTCCAGTGCAGCTCCGATGAACTAAGGGCCACGTGGGAGACCAGGGAACAGACTCCTGCGCAGCGCCGATGAACTAAGAACCACATTGGAGAACAGGAAACAGACTCCAGTGCAGCGCCGATGAACTAAGGGCCACGTGGGAGACCAGGGAACAGACTCCAGTGCAGCACAGATGAACTAAGGACCACGTGGGAGACCAGGGAACGGATTCCTGCGCAGCGCCTCGCTCCTGTGAATTGCTTTTGTAAAATCATGGCTGTGGTATGCGGTGAGGGAAGCTGTGACCAGGCTGACTGCAGGCGTCATACGGGAAGTTCAACAGATTGGAAGAAGCAGGGAAGAATTGTAAAAATTCTTAACGATCCATAGTACACACTTCCAATACACTGCAGAAATACCCTAGTTATAATTCTTCCCTGCTAACTTGAATAGGTTACATTTTAACCAATCCAAGTTAGCAG